AAACTGTGACAGACAGGAAGTGAACATTTTTATTCATACTGTTTTAAATCCTGTGCTTTTCTGCCTGTTTACTTCAAGTACCCTTTACCCACGTGGACGAAGTGTTCATATTGTTAGATGTTCAATACTGCCAGGGCCACAAATAGTATCAGGAAAGTTACAAGTTCCTATTGCTAGATTTTATTATTAAATTTATCAACAAAACCAAAGAAAGATTAGCCTGTAGATTTTCATCCTGTATAGAGTTCAGTAGACAAATATATATGTATATATGCTGCTTTTGTATCTGATATAAAAGAATGAAACAAGAAGTATAAAAACCTTTTCAAGATAACAGGCTCTTGAAGGTTTTTGTTCAGCTTTTCTTAAAATGCAACAAGGGGCAAAATGCTGAAATATTATGCCCAGGCAACATATATGTCCTTTGGGTGATAAAGAGGGTCATGAGCACAAGTGCTTTTCATGCCCATCATCATCAGCTGCTTTGCTGACCTGGTCATGCCTTTCTCCCATGGCCAGAGACAGCAGAACATAGCTTAACCGACATATGACCTAAATCAGATTTACAGACAAATCAAATCCTCATTTCCAGAGAATTTGTTTCAAGGCTTACATTAAGGCTACTTGCAACTTAGGCTCAGCAGAGATCATTTTAAAAATCTTTTGATATGTCACACTTTAAAAGGTTTATCATGTCCTACAGCAGACGCTGACCCCATTCAATTCTGTTAGGGAAATGGCAACACCATGATGTATTTGAGATTTTAATTCATGTCAGTACACCAAAGATATAGTATAGCAGAAAATAAAGAAGTGATGAATCACCAGCTGAAGATTTTCAATGAGCAAATACCTGTAAATTAAGGACAATATTTTCAAAATGAACAAGGCTTTAGGAGCAGAACAATGCAGACATCTAAAATAAATGTAACAGCATGCAATTTTACAGACAGTATTAGCTATTTTGTCTTGGGCAATGGGGAAGAAAAGGTGACAGATTAGAGTTGGGGAGAGGGAAATCATGCAGGCTCTGATTAATCAGAACTGTCTATCCATATTTGCCTACACAAGCAGAATTAAAAGCATCAAACAAGTTTTAGGGCTAGATCTCAGAGGCTGCAGTGGAACTAACATGCCCTGACATTTTTAGAGTTAAAGTGATAAGGAAGAGAGCAGCATTTTGTCATTAGAAGTCCAGTGTCATTTGCAGGGGATGCCACAGCTCTACTTTGAGAAGAAAGAGTTAAATTACTCAGAGCTATTACATCCTGTCTGCTGCTTGGCTTGGCAGGACCACATACTGTGACAGCTGCGAGCTTTACATCCTCTACAAACTGACATTTTACACACATACCAAGTGCATCACACTGTTCAGCTTGTTTTCTCTATTAGCCTTAGCAATTAAAAACGCAGCACTTTCTCTGCTAAGAGGTGTGCCAACCCCTCTCTTTTGCCTTTATGGTTAAACAGCAAAACTTCACCTTTTCATTTAGAAAGGTTCTCTTTTTATTATAAGGGCATCGATACATGCTACATGTTTTCCTTTTTAAAACAGCTTGCTTTTGTTGTGGCTGAGATTCTTTTGTTTGTTTCTTCTTCTTAATTGGGATACAGCACAATAAATTTATATTCAGCTCAGACCACATCTGAACAAGTCCATAGCTTACCCAGATAATCAAAGCTGATACAAATTTAAAATCAGGATCTATTATACACATTTATCTCATGCTACCCATCAGGGCTTCTTCCACTGCCTTGGTACAAACAAAAACGACAAACGGAAAAGGTTAATCTTGATCAGAGCTGAACTTATACCAAAAAAATAAGAAAGTCTACATTAATGAGTCATTCCACTACTCCATAATTATCTCTGTGATAAATATACTTTGAAGTACTTATAACAGAAACAAAGCCTTTACTGGCTTTCGGACATCATCTGTCACTACTGAACTCCGTCTCCTTCCCTCTACAGCCCCTGTTTTACAATCCCTTCCTCTGCCACTGCATTATTCCACGTTTACAGTAAATAAAGGTGAATTCCAACGGTGTGTAACAGAGACATGTCTTGGTCTTCTGGGTACGACACTGGGCAAGCGCCTACAGGTCCACAGGCTTCTAGTCTTTCTTTCATTTGATGACTTTACCTACCTCTGCCTATTAAGTCTCAGAAAGCAGGAGGCATGAAATATCCAGGCAGTTATTTAAATGTCAGGAGAAGAAAACATAGGTGGTCAGTTGTGCTCTTCCTCTAAATGAGCAAGATCTTTTCAAGAGTTCCCCAGTGCCTCAACCTCCTTCCTACAGCAGGCTTTTTCTTCTCCATATTCTTCCACTTTTGGCTTGTGGGTAACATGTTCATAATATTCCCAAAAGAGGGGCACTTGATCTCAAAAGAGCAAAACTTCAGAGAACACCCAGCATCCAAATTTTAAATTACAGCAGAGAACAATCTGATCATATCGACAAGCTGTGTATATGTCATTTTCTGAAATTGCACATATTGAATTTTATGTCTTATATCTTATGGAACAAGACACTCTCCATATTAGCCCTCACACAGACATGGTGTGCAGCCATACAGCACCTCGTGACACACCAGATGGCACTGGGAGGTTGATTCCTTAATCTGTTGACCAGCTGTGTCTCCAGTATGGAATTGCTAGAATTGAAGGCAAATGATACTCCACCTACCAGGGCTCTAATGCTTCGAGGGGCCCTTCTAGTAGATACTCTTCTGCTGTGTCCTAGTGTTTTGGTCACCACTCTGCCATCACAGTATCCCTGTTACCAGATGCTGTCCCTGTCATGTAGCTTGATATAAACTTTCTTGTGTCCACACAGAGCAAACCAAGAGGTGAATAGGGCCATTATTCATAAATCTGTTGCAATATCCTACTGAGACAGAGAACCTTTCACTGGTTGTTTAAGAGTCAAACTGGTTTACACCAAGAATCCATTTAACTCAGAAAGATGTCTCCAACATGGCTATAACTGAAGGCTAAGGAAGAGTTTTATAAATATATATATATAAATATATATAAAAAAAAAATATATATATATATAAATATATATAAATATATATATATATATATATATATATGTATAAGGGCAAGTGTGTAGGATACCTGCTGCAAATGTTTTGTGTACTTCCTCTCAGCATGTCTGGCTTAAGTTTCTACGGAAAGGAATCCAGTTTGTGCAATATGAGACCATTCTGTGATGCTAGGAGAGGCATATTAAGTGGGGAATATCAGAGGTTCCTCAAAACGCAGTCCTCATCTGAATTAAAATGCTTGTATGAACACAGAGATGGATAAGGCGGAGCAAAAACCAATATCACTTCCACCTGAACCCATCTAAACTTCTTGAACCCGCAGCATTCTCCAGATCTGTTGCCTGTTCCATAAAGAATTCGCTGAAAGATCTCTTTTTTGTCTGCTTTGCACCCGGTTCCAACTAGTGCCATTTGAGAGTCCTTAGTTCTTATACTGGAAGAGATGGCAGTCAATCCCTATTTACATGCCTCCCATGATTTAGGAGACCTCTACCTATCACATTCTCTGCAACCCTTCTCTTTTCCAGGCTGAAAGGACACAGCATGTAAAGTCTTCCTAATATGGAAGCTGGCTGTATCACTGATCATCCTCACTGCTCTGCTCTTTGAACAATGACAGTGCTAACACAACCTTCTGAAACAAGGCACAAACTGAGGCTTTTACAGCAGTATGTAGTAGCATATGCTTGCTGGTTCACCCTCTATTCCTTTCCTAACAGTTTTTAACATATGGTTAACATTAATGCCTCTTAACGTTTGCCTTCTTGATCAGCACTGACCTAATGCACTCAGGGAACCATCTGTCATTATCCTAAAACTTTGCTCCTGAGTGGTAACACCACAGTTTGACCATAAAAATGAACAATAACTCACAGTCAGGTCTGTAATAACTGAAATAAAATTAAATACATTATAGGAATCGTTTGTTCAGATGCACATTAGCACAAGAAAAGCTGCCATTAATGCATTACACTGTTCTTCAAGAAGTTTCTAGCCATTTCTTGTTACACTACAAAGTAATTATCTAATAACAAAACTCTTAATCCTAGTCTCCTGGAATTTTACACATTTAGTCGAGCATCTGTCCCATTTTCCCTTAATCCGCCCTTTTGGCATGTGTGTGCCTTGCTTGTCTGTCTTAGGATTTTACACTATTTATGATATATTCCTAGTGAAAAGATCAGGTATTGCCTTTATAGATAAATAACATCTATTTCTGGCAGATGAGTAATCAAATAAAACAGAAAAAAAACCTTCTAAGAGTTACATAACACTATCTTCTTTTCCCTCATGATCTCTTTGCTTCAAGTCATAATGAATTTTAAGCCCAGCTTTTCAAATACCTATCTGTGTATCAGATTCACTGTGGAAGATTGGTATTGACTGATCTGATCTAAACAGTGTTTCTTCTGATCTGAGTGCACACTTGGATCAACGAAAAGCCAATCTAGGACACACATGGTTTGTTTATAGGGACGTATCCAGAATATACAGCTCTTTCTGCATATGAAGGAGGTCGGGTTAGAACGAAGCAAATGCAGTTATCTGTATATTCCTATTGCAGCTAAGCCTACCTAAAGGACTGTCTTCTTTAGAATTGCAATGCTACAGTGACTTGTGTGATCATGTTGCCCTGACAACCAATGGAGATCCTCTTTACAGTTAATCTAGCAGACAGCTGTATTTTTGGGACAAATAGCCCTGAGTTTCATTGCTCACCACCACTCACATTTCCTACCCCCCCCAATAAAGCACAGAGATTATCAAGATCAAAAGTGCACCATACAAACCTAGTGTGGTTGACTGGTGTTACTGTTACCTTGCATCCCTTTACCTCAGTTGCCTGTCTGGTACTGTTGAAGCAGAGATGACTATGTGAGAGTCTGTCTCACAGTCTTGGAGTCTTTTGATTTACAAAAAAATAAAATGAAAACTGCACACATACCTTCAGGACAGTCCACTGCTCTACAACAATTGCATCATAGCCCTGCATGGTTTTACTGTCTTCCACAGCAACATCTTCAAAGAGAAATACTCCATCCATTGTACCATGTAAAGAATCTATGAAAACAGAGAGTTAACTGTAAGCTTTATGGAAGGCACCCCATGTGTACAAATTGTTCCAAGGATATCAATAAAAATCTGCATGGACCCTCCTCTAACAGTCCAGCTCTATGAAATTAATTAGACTAATATCTCTAGCAATTTTTAAGAGCAATCCTACTCTCTAATAGCAAACCTCAGAGTCCACTATGTTATTCCAGAGTTTGTCCTCAAAAAACACAGTTCTTCCATTTTAGGCAGGCAAAATTAATTCACTCCTCAGTTCAGCAGTATTGCTCACCTACCTGAAGTTATACACACACTTTGCAGGCTAAAGACCATGTATTATGACAACTTTTCAAAAGGGCTTTGAAGGTACACTGGTATTAATGACTATACCATTCATTCACACAAGTCAGAACCCTACATATGGATCAGTCGTTGCAGTTACAGTGATCTACATGGACTAAGGACGATCTGGCATATCTGAACGGTGTGAAAGACAAGATACATTCCTAACTATTTAATCAATTTATGAAGGCATTTTGACCATCTGGTTTAGTGCCTCTCTATTCTCATTTGTATTCCCCGCACGTTCAGCCTTTTTTCAGACAACACATACTACTAAAATTACTTGAGCAGCACTTTCTCCTGCAACTTAGCCGTATATTCCATAATCAGCAATCACTCCCATATACAAGAACTCAAGTTTTGTCAGCTCCATGACAGAACAGAATCAGAATAACTGAAAAAAGACTTACCTTTCTTTGCTAAAATAAGCCTAAATGATGAAGCAATAGAACTATATTTAGAAAAACTGTAAATAAGCAGTACTGTACTCTTTATGAACACAGAAAACTCCTCTCACATTGTCACAAAGTGTGTTTTTCAGCCTTTCTAGTTTAAGTAATACATTTACCCTGTATGACTGATTATAAAGACCTTGGTCATCCCCTCCCAGGTGTTGTCTTTTGCATGATAGTTTCTTTACATTTGTAGAAAAACTATGTTCCTTGCACTGCGATGATGTATGGTTTTTAAATGCAACCAGACATGACAAACTGGCAGATTTCTGCACTGACAGGAGAATCTTCTGGATACGTCTACTTAGCTGTTTAATCAGGTCCTCCCGCTTTCCCGGGTGGATTTCATGAGGTAAAGAAATGCCAGTGCGAAGGCATCGCTGCCTCCAAGGGAAAATGTGTATCAAACTCAGAAGCAGTTTCCACAAAGGAGGCACTGAAAAGGATTAAGAGGCTTCTTACCTCTTGAAAACACTCTCAGTCAAAAGCTTCTGATGTCACCATATGATCTAAATTCAATTTATTATCTGGAAATCATAAAAAAACAGACTACTACAGCTGGAGGCTTATGTCTACAAACACACTGTAGAAAGACTGTTGCTGCAGGTGTCAAACATTTGCACACCCCCTTGCTTCTATTTGCACAGTCCAGTACTATCTCTTGCTGTAATCTCAATCAAGTCATTGAGTTGTGAGCAGAGGCAAATACCTGTATCTAAACTAACACAGATTTTTTATTTTTTTTTTTTTTTAGTTAGGTCGTGAAAGTAAAAAGTTGTAAATCCCAAGGGACCCTCCTTGGGATTCTGTTGGGAACTCGGAAATGGCACTCTGTTAGACCCTACATTTCAAGGTGGGAACCAACTCAACTTCTTGCAATATATCACGTTCCAACAACCAAACACATAACCAAATCTGTTTTAGGATGCATAATGTACAAATAGGCCTTTAATTTTCCAAAGCAGGGATGACAGGAATGCACCTAGGGCTGAAAGCAGAAACCCATGGATCCCTACTAGACACAGACATCCAGATCTTGCCAGAAAGCTTTATACAGTGTCGGTGTACTGCTCCTGTATCGTGAATTGTCTTAATGAAATTCAGTGTTGCACTGTTGGCACAACTGCAGCTTGAGTTCGCCCCACGTGTTTGCCAGCTAATTAATAAGCGATCAAAACACAATCAGCATGCGTGTGTTTACACTCACTCGTAAATCATCCTTTACGTTTCACTCTGCTGCACATTCCACTCATGCAGTTCACAGCTTCCACATATGTGAACATTATGGCACATATGTAATGTTTTAGAAACTAATAGCTGAGCTCATGAGACCCTACAGGCAGCAGATCAATTTGGCAGTATTACGTTTACAGTTGGATTCAATGATCTTAAAGGTCTTTTCCAACCTAAATGATTGTATGACATCTCTTCCTTGTTGGACGGACTATTACTGCTGAATGTTACAGCCAGTCAATCCTAAAATCCATTAATTTTTTGGCCAGGAAAGAAACCTATACAAAATAAGAAAACTGGAAGGGGAAAAACAGTGAGGGTGATACAGCTGCTGCATACTGGTGTCTGTTCAACAGAGTGATACTGGTGAAAAATTCTGTAAGAGAAACTGGCTGATGACGCTCATTAAGAACTTCCCCCTTAACAATAACCAACCTTCTCCGTACCTGTCGTGCCACAGTGATTAAACTTTCTTGCCATGAATGTATATCTACCAATTCTCACACCCTGGACATACATCTTCCCTTTTACAGGTCATTCACTACTCTTCCAGATAAAAAGGGGAGGTAAAGAGTAATTAGATCATTAAATCCTTTGTGTTTGGGATGCTGAAAATAACTGGGGTAAAGCAGAAAGCAGCAGAAAGAGCTAACAGGGTCTTTTGGAGAACAGGCACACATGACCCATGCTACAGTATCAGGATCAGCAGAAATTTCAGGGAACTCTTACATAGAGGTGTAGAAAGGCAAGGAGATGGACATATGCACTGAGTCTACCTGCAATACCTTTATCACACAGATGCTCTGGCTCTAAGAGCAACTTAAGTCTATAGTTACATGTTCTAGACCTGGCCCACTAGGTGAGATTCACATAATCTAACATTAGATATTTATGATATAGAGGTCTACAGTTGAGTTAGTCATCCAAGGTTCTCTTTACACCTGATGGAGAGAAATAACCATTATTTCATTTAAGATCAATTTTCATAGAATCATAGAATAATTCAGGTGGATGGGGACCTCAGGAGGTCTCCAGTCCAATCCCCTGCTCAAAGCAGGTTCAATACAAGTGCAGAGCAGATTTCTCAGGGCTATATCTAGTTACATCTTGAAAATCTCCAAGGATGGAGACTGCACAACTTTCTGGGCAGCCTCTTCCAGAGTGTGACTGTGTTCATGATGAGAAAGTTTTTATTTATATCCAACCAAGACCTCTCTTGTTTGAATTTATGTACATTTTTTTTCCTCATCCTCATACCATACACCTCAGTCAAGAGCCTGGATCCATCTTCTTGATAGTCTCCTCACAGGCACTGCCAGGCACTGTTAGGTCCCCCGAAGATGTCCCTTCTCCAGGCTGAACCTAGCCAGCTCCTTCAGTCTTTTTTCACAGGACAAGTGCTCCAGCCACTGACTATCTTGTTTGCCCTCTGCTAAACTAGTTTGTCAGCATCTTTCTTGCCCCCTTTGGGTAAGGGCCCAGAACTGGACACAGTATGTGGTCTAGATGCAATCCAATGAGCACCAAATAGTGGAGGATAATCACTGTCTTTTATTTGCTGAGTATATTCTTGTTGTTACAACCTGGTATACTCTTGCCTTCTCTACTGCCAGGGCATACTGCTGGTTCATCTTCAGTTTGCTGCCTACTAACATCCCCCAGTACCTTTTCAACAGAGCTGCCACCCAGCCAGGCAGTCCCCAGCCTGGATTAGTGCCCAGAGGCAGGATATTTGTCCTGATGGAATTTCAAAAAACTCCTGCTGGCACATTCTTCCAGCTTGCCCAGGTCTCTCTGGACAGCAGCCCAGTTCTGAAGCACATCAACTGCACCTCTGAGTACAGGATCATGTGTAAATTTCACAAAATCATGCCTCCTCTGCATCATTAATAAAGTTGTTTGTTGTGGTTTGAGCTCACAGGGCAACTGAGCACCACACAGTCGCTCACTCACCTATTCTCCCTCAGAAATGGGAAGGAGAAAATAAAGTAAAAGGCTCAGGAATCAAGATAAGGTGAAGGAGGGGTGAGTCACCCATTACAGTCATGGGCAAGAGACAGAATTGTCAGGGGAAGAAAAAGAACATGAATTTAATTCAGACAGTAACAACAACACTTAACAGACAGAGTAGGACAGTGAGAAGCATTACCACATCTTTAACACCTCCCCCCACCTCTCCCTTCTTCCTGGGCTCAGCTCTGCTCCAAGTTTCTCTATCTCCTCCCAGTCAGCAGTGCAGGAGGCAGGGAATGGGGTTGTGGTCCTGTCGCTTCTCCCTCCACAGAGGGAGGACCCCTCATATTCATGGGATCCCTGTCATGGGAGACAGTCTTCCACAAACTTTCTCTGACATGAGTCCTTCCCACAGGCTGCAGCATTTTCTGTGCTGCTCCTGCATGGATCCCTCCTGCATGTCACAATCCTCCCAGCATCACACTATAGCAGCAGGTGCTTCTTCCCACAGTGTCATGGCCTTCTTCAGGTGCAGCCATGTGTTACAGCGTGGGGACCTCCATGAGCTGCAGGTTGGTATCTGCTCCACCAGTGACGTCCATGGGCGGTGGGGTGGCCTTGATGACTCACCACGGGCTGCTGGGAGAGTACACCAGCACACCCTGCTGCCCTTCCTCCCCCTTTCTTCCACTGACCTCAGTGTCCACATATGTGTCCCTCCTCACAACTCATCCTCACAACTCCCACTCCTCCTCCCAGATTCCCCTTCTTAAATATGTTATTGCTGAGGCGTGGCCACTGTCGCTAATTGGCCCAGCCTTGGTGCAAAGGTGTGTCCGACTTAAGAGCCGGGGGAGCTTCGAGAAGCTTCTCACAAGAGGCCACTGCTGTAGCCCTCTCCACTGCTACCAAAAAGCCCCACAACACACACAAACCCAGCACGCTGTTAAACACAACAGGTCCCAGGATATATCTCTGTGTACTCCACTTGTTACTCCAGGTAAAGTGTAACGTATTAACCACAACCCTCTGAGCTTAGCCACGCAATCAGTTTTTTACCCATCTAGTTGCCCTCCTGTCTAGACTTGTAAGGTCCTAGCTTGGATACAATATATTGTGGGAGCCACTGTTGCACTTCCTTGATGAATTCACCTAAAATGGCATCTACTGCTTTCCCTTCATTCACAAATCCAGTCATTTCATCACAAAAGACAATCAGTTTCATCAAGTATGATTTACTCTTGTTAAATCCATGCTGAGTTTTCTCAATCACCTTCTCTTTCATGTGTCCAGAAATGTGTTCCAAGAGGACTCACTCATTTACCTGGAAATGAAGTGAGGCTGACCAACCTGTAGGTCTCTGGATTGTCTTTTGACCTTTTTTTAAAGGCAGGCACAACCTTTGCCTTTCTCAAGTGTTGAAAAACTCCCCTGATCTCCATGACCTTTCAACGATGACTACGAGTGGCCTTGTTACAACATCAGCCAGCTTTCCCACATCCTTGGATGAAGACCATTTGGTCTCAGGAACTCAAGCAATGCCTGTCTTGATCTTCATCCACTGCTGCTAGTCCTGCACCTCCTTGAATTTTGTCTCTAAGCTCAGAGGCCAGTAAGACTGTCAGTGAAGACTAAAGGAAATGAGGCATTGAGTATTTCAGTTTTATGTAGGTTTGTTGTCACTAAATCACCCACTCCAATCTCTCTGATCTCTTTTAGATATTTGATGTAAGATGAGGTGGATCACAACACAAATCCTACTGACTATACTGGTCTAGGCCTAGAACCTCCACTGATTCTAATGGCACTCTTGGGTGACAATTCATATGCAGATACCTGCAGCATCTGTCCTGACTACATTTATTCAGCTGAATTTTACCTAACGTATCTATGAAGATCAGTAATCTAAAGCTTTAGATGGTGAGTTGGTCCTTCCAGTTTCCACTGTTTCTCATGCAAGGTATCTCCTAATTCTGATGAAGTGGTATTCTGTTGTTTAACTAGATTTAGCTCCTGGAACATTAAAAAGGTCTTTAGTAATTTCAAACGTTAGTTCATTTGCAATAGGGCAGTAAGGAATGTCAATAAAACAAACCATTCTGACCTTGCTGTTTGTGGTATCATTTCCCAATCTCTACTCTTGAACTGATATAACTTCATTCTGTCTTAAATAAAAGGCTCTGAACTTAAAGGTTACTATCACTGTCCTTCCCCTGAAAATGTTCCATTACCACTGAATTTTTTATTAAGGTATCCTACTGTGCACAAAAAGCTATTTTCACTGGGTTGTATAAATATTTGATGTAGCTCAGTTGATGAAAAGCTATTTTGATGGTCTTGCTTCTGATTTACAAGAAGCATAAGGGAAAAGATTTTTTACTTTACCATGACAGCTTTCCTAGCGGGCAACAATTTTCCCCTTGTTGTCTTTGAACAACAAATTCCCTTTCTCTAGGAAACTAACCTTTAGGCTGCTGTTGCTCTCAATGAGGAAAACTAGCTATCTGTGGCTTTATGTGGCATGTGACCTGAATGTTGGCCTTTGCTTCATATTTATATATTCCTCCCTCCTCCTGAATCTTCTCACTTTCAGTACACACAGAGAAAAATAATCCCATAGTGATGATAAAACTCCCAGACACTTCAGCAGATAAGGTGACTACATCTGGCTAAATGCATCACTGGTTCACCTCTGTCAGAGGCAGTGCAAATACAACACAATCAATCTGACCCTCTAAAAACCCGAGTACTTTCTCTTCCAAACAACTCACATTTTGTTTCATTTGCTTTAAGTACTGCCCATGTTTTCTGGATGGTTGGCTGGCTTTTTCTAAGTTTGAAAGACAGGAAATTCACAGACAGAATGGTAAAACAAATACAAGAATGCCAGGCATTTGAAGACCTGCAGTTCAAAAGAACTGAAGATGAGCAGGCTTATGATTACTCTAAGACATCAAAATAAAACCTTCGTTTTGATGACTCCTCACACTGCTGATTGGAGACTCACTGTTACGGGAAAAAAAAGAGACCCTACCTGTTGCATCCTTTCCATTTGCAATTGTATTAACCTGTAGCTCGCTGCTACAGTCTCCATTTCTCACTAGAAGAGGGCAACGGTGAGGCCCTATGATCACTTTAGATCACCCAGTAGGATCAGTTTACACCTGGGACTACAGGCAGAATTAGTAATGACATAAACTGGATGAAAAACACCAGTAAGTAACTGAAGTCCAAATATAAATAACTGTTATTTGTCAACATAGGAACATTCAAGGACCAGCAAGCTGCTGTTTCTAACTTACTAGCAAAATCTGAATACATTTTATATATGGTATAACTCTTTGTGGTTTACATATTGTAATTTGCAACTGTGTTATATTTCTGGTTATAATTATCTGGTACAATAAGCAAAAAGAAACAATTGTTACCAGTGAACTTTAAAACTCTTTTAAAGACTAATTATTAAACTTTTGGCAGAAGGAAGAAACAGATTTATGACTACTGACAACCTGGAAATCTTCTTCATTGGGCATTCCAAGGACAAGGGGGAAAAGAAGATAATGACCCTGCTTTTAAGTCTAATAAGCAAAATAATGAATTTGTACCTTAAGCGGAAGAGAAAAAAAAAACAGTCCCCAGAACAAAAAAAGTGTGTAACATTACCTTTAGAAGAGGATTAATAGGTGAATAAGGAGACCAGCTATGAAGAGCTGGATAGGCTGCCATAAAAGACTAGAAAAAAGTAAGGAGCTGAGAAGCCCTCAACTCCCTCTTTCTTCCCTCCTCCCTGCCCTGGAGTGTTTCATACTGGTTGGCATATGAATAAGAAAGCTGTTCTGTTTCTCTGCAGCAGAGGAAAAATTCAGAATTTAAATCATAAACATTTAACTGCAACTGATAGCAACTTACAGATGTTCTTAGCAAATGTTCTTCTAATAGCATGGACATGTTCATGGTGTTTTAAGTAACTGTTCTAATTAATACACTAATTAGAAACCTTAACTCTGAGCTTTTTGACTTCTAAACCTATTCTTGTAATTGTAAAACACTAATAAAAATGTTCATTAATTGTTCATCTTCAATCCCTAACTTAATCCTAAATCTGTCCACTTTTACATAATTCATTGTCTTGTTTGCATCGAAGCTTTACTGTCATCATTCAAGCCTACTTTATCTCCCTCTGCAAGCAGTTATTCAGCACTCCTCACTCTGGCATCCAAGTATGTGAACTTCCCCTAGGCCTCTGTTATGTAAATGAACTTTAGAAGTTTAAATAACAGAAAAATGCTGTGTTTAAAGCATTTTAGAGTGCACTGATAAGCAGTTTTCATTAAAGAAAACACTGAGCCTAATAGAGCCAATTAGGTTTACGTCTATGAGTTGCAATTTATACATATAAAGTAAATGACCATTTGTTTTTAAGCAAGTTAACTAGCAATTACAAGGCTTTCCAGGAAGCTGTGTGGAAGCATTCCATCAGCTGAACTTTAGACCTTCCTTTTTTGCTACTTGCTTGCAAAATGAAAAATTAGGATTGCCTGTTAATTTCCTGATTGACTTTTACCAGAACCGACTCATATTACTGTGTTTTGTCATGGGTCCTGGAATTCTGGCCAGCAGCAAATGGGAAGATGATGCTCTGGAAGCAGCTCCCCTGTAATTTTGAGGTACAAACCCACTAATCTTAGTAGCAGGGATCTATGGGGTTACCACATTTCTTTTGTAGAATACAAACCAATCCATAATCGGGTAAAAGAATCAGCTATAAGCACTTTAACCATGAAGTATACTAGTCACATAATTTTCCAGTAAAATTAATCTGGCTGTAACTTCAACATTTTTATGTATGAGTACTTCCATTGTTTGCTCTCAAGGCCCCCTGGTTATGCCTCTCGGATCCCTACTATGCACCAAAGTCTTTCTTTGTACAGCAGGCTTGTCTTCAAAGCCATGGTGGCCAAAAGCATAGTACAGACTGGCTACAGTGTTAAACTGGACTCAGTGCCACATTTTCACAACATGCAAAAATCCTTTTTTTTATCTCCTCTTCTTAAATTAAGACCAACATTTATCCATCACTCATATCAACACACTAGCTGGGATGAAACAAACATAGAAGACAATTCTGTAGTGCCATCAAGGTGGAAAGGGTCTCTGCAAGAACTGGGAGTAACTGACTACAGGCTGGCCCGATGAAACTAGAGGGTCCTTACACCGACCTACAATCAGACCCAGATGCAGTTGTGGCTGGACAGCTAAGAGGAAAGCCACTTTTCCATTTATGTCATCTGCTTTACAATCTTATTAGCTTAATTCATTTTCCTTGGTACTGTTTATTAACTCTGTATATTTCTGCAATTAGAGGATTATTTCTAGTATGTTTATAAAATACAATACATGATCTGTTTTCCTTATTCAAATGCCAGAATACTTCCTGTGCTTTCATTCCATTTCACTGAAATGGGCTGATCTGAAACAAATCTGCCCCAAGTCTATATTAAAGCACCTCCCAAATGTCTTCTCTTCAAAGATAACAACCTCTATTAGAGGAGAAAGGAAAATAATCACAGCATAATGCTTTCTGTAATTTCCATACCATTTACCATTCCATGGCTGAAGATGGCGGTTACCAATGAGCCTCCTTTCCTGAAGTGATCTGTCATGTGCTCCAGCCAATTTGCTTCTAAGCTGTTGACAGTTTGCCCATTCCGGGAGATTCTCATAGGAATAGTCACTGTATAATACTGGCTGCATCTTTGTGGGGTTTTTGGCTTGTTGAAGAGAGCGAAGATCTCTGCTTCTACCAAAAAGCAAAAAATGGAGTAATGCAACAACCATATTATGATATTTCAGCCAAAACAATGTATAACCCACTGTTTGGCCTTGCCCAATTACACTGTGAAACTGCAGAAAGTACTTTGGGATGTGGTTATCTCCTTAATACATTTCTGCAATGTCCAACACAGTAGGCTCCCAAACCCTAATACGGTATTTTGATTGCTGATACAATACAGACAGTAATACCTGAGTACTAATGCACAACCCCCTCACCAGAGTTATCAGCATAAACCAAGATAGGAAAACATGCTCCACAAACTGCTTTAAGTACTGTAGCAGTCACAAAATCACTAAGAATTAACACACAGAGTACCCTTTACTTTTCTATAGAAGAGCTATGACACTGAGGACAGTTCAAATACAAAATCCTACTGCAGTTTAGGAGGAACTACATTCTGTAGATCATGGCCATTAAATTAAAGTATTAAATAACCTGGGTTTGATAATACAATGGCATGGAACCAGCAAGTGGTAGTCTCATCTAAAGAAAATGCAATAAATCATTAGCTGGTTTGTTGATTTACTCTGGGTCTGAGCCAAGGTGAGACCTTAACCCAAAAGAAAATTAATTTTGAAAGGGGAGTCATGAAGGGTCTTACAAATGAGAACATTAGAATTTCTAGACTCTGCTCCATATCTCCTTTAGTATATCACAGGAGCAGTTAATGTAGGTACCACCACAAAAAAGTCATTGTTGACAGCAAAGTCACCTCTGTGCCTGGCAAGATCATGGAGCGGATTCTCCCAGAACCTCTGCTAGGGCACAAGGAAAATGAGGAAGAGATTGGTGACAGCCCACATGGCTTCGCTAAGGGCAAACCATGTCTGACAAATTTAGTGACCTTCTATGACGGGATGACAGAGCTGATGGATAAGAGAAGAACAACAGACATCATCTACCTGGACTTGTGCAACGCATCTGATACTGTCCCACATGACATACTCATCTCTATATTGGAGAGACACGGATTTGACAGATGAACCACTTGATGGGTAAGGAACTGACTGGATGGTTGCACTCAAAGAGCTGTGGTCAACAGCTCAATGTCCAAGTGAAAAGCAGTAATAAGTGGCATTCCTTGGGGATCAGCACTGGGACTGGAGCTATTTATCACCATCTTTGTTGGTGACATGGACAGTGGGATTGAGGGCACCCTCAGCAAGTTTGCTGAAGACACCAATCCATGTGGTGCAGTCAACACGCTGGAGGGAAGGGATGTGCCATCCAGAGGGACCTGGACAGGCTGGAGAGGTGGGCCCATGCCAACCTCATGAAGTTCAACAAGGCCAAGCGTAAAGGTCCTGCACATGGGTCAGGGCAATCCCAAGCACAGATACAGGCTGGGAGATGGGATTGAGAGCAGCCCTGTGGAGAAGGACTTGGGGTTATGGGTGGATGAAAAACTGACTATGAGCCAGCAATGTGTGCTCACAGCCCAGAAAGCCAACCGTATCCTGGGCTGCATCAAGAGAAGTGTGAGCAGCAGGCTGACGGAGGGGATTCTCCCTCGCTACTCCACTCTCCTGAGACACCACCTGCAGTGCTGTGTCCAGCTCTAGGGCCTCAACATAAGGAGGACACAGACCTGCTCAAGCAGGTCCCGAGGAGATCACAAAGATGATCAGGGGGTCTGGAGCACCTCCTCTGTGAGGACAGGCTGAGAGAGTTGGGGTTGTTCAGCCTGGAGAAGAGAAGACTTTAAGGAGACATTATAGCAGCCTTCCAGTACTTAAAGGGGGCTACAGGAAAATGTGGAAGAAATCTGTATCAGGGAGTGTAGGGATAGGGCAAGAGGTAATGGTTTTAAACTGAAAGCAGGTAGATTTAGATTAGCTATTAGGAAGAAATTCTTTCCTGTGAGGGTGGTGAGACACTGGCACAGGTTGCCCAGAGAAGCTGTGGCTGCCCCCTCCCTGGCAGTGTTCCAGGCCAGGTTGGACGGGGCTTTGAGCAACCTGGGCTAGTGGAACGTGTCCCTGTCCAGGGCAGGGGGGGTTGGAACTAGATGGTCTTTAATGTCCCTTCCAACACAAACCATTTTAAGCAAAATAAGAGAAAAAAAAAAAAAAAAAAAAAGGAAAAAGAAAAAAGATGAGCTGTCACAGCCCTGAATTGGAAGCAAGTTTTAAGTGCAGATTGACCTAAATTCTCAGAGGGGTACAACTGTCAATAAAATTACCAATAAAAAAGTATGTGGACATTAGTATTTTACTTATTAATAGAGATGAAAATTAATGATAAAATTTTCTATTGACTTCCAAATGCCAAAAATTCTCCCAAAATAAATTAATACAATAGGTATAGACATTATATGAAATTCATTCATGCAATAAGCTTCTGTTATTGTATTCTAAGTTCAAGTATTAAAGTAAAGAAAGAGATGTCAAGACAAATGTTAATATTAATCTCTAACAAACATCACTGAGCAAGAAGTACTGTGTACTGAAATATTGCAAAAGATATTAGAGGGGAGATGCTCAGAGACAGGCTGGCAGCACTTGAAGAAGAGAACAGGAAGCTGACAATATAAATAAACGTGGAACAGAGACTGAATCTCAGACCTGAACCATGATTCAAACAGAGTAAAAAGGAATAAATTGTTAACAGGAATCCTCTTGCTGTTTACCTCTTGTTTAGAAAGAACAAAGTTATGGTAATTGTAACTCAGAAGAGCATATACATAAAAATTCTATGATCATTTTGATTCTGACCCCCAAAATAGACTCATGTTGGAAACTGAGATCTTTCTGGTGCATATTAAGACATTATACTAACAATAGGAAATAATGGAACTGAAAATCCATAGGGAAATGATAATTTGGATTTGACACTGGGCTGTTGACAACATGCATTTAAGATGTGTGGGAGTCTTTCAGTGGTTGACTTGGTTTGTCACCATTAGTGAGTGTACACTGTATCAGTCCTAAACACTGAGACAACAGTTTTCACCAGAGAGCCCAGCTGCTGAAGCATGAACAAAGACACCTTTAGTTTGGTAGTAGGCAACACAGCACTTTTGGACATATCATTGGAATATCTGTGCCTTGTTCACAGGCAAAAAAAAAGCACTACAAAATATTCATGAAAAAAAAAAAAAAGCAGCATCAAAATAGCACCTGAATAGTATACAACTTAAAATAAAGAACAAAACCAAGATTCCACACATAGTAAGAAATATACATTTTTTTTCTGAAGTTTTATGTAGGGAAGAAGGAGATCAAGAGTGGTAACTTCCTATGGAATAAGCAGGCTAACTGGAAAAAAAATGTGAACACCTGATGCTTTCTATCTTCATGTTCCCAAGGAAGGATGGAGAACTGGTGCCAAAGACTGAAATACATTTTCCATGGAAGGAAAAGGGACCGCTGTAATAACAAAAATTAATACAAGAGTAATAAAGAAATCAGCAATGTTGTACAGGCAATAGATTTGGGAAAATCCTGCTGTAGGTGAGCTGTCACATAAAGCTGCCTTCTCAGACCTTCAGTCTTGGAAAGTATTTGCAAAAGTCACCAACTAAAAAAAATGTATGAGAAAGAAAGATAAATAAGGAAACTAAATGCAGTTTTAAAATAAACCCTCTTATCCAGCAAATCAGCAGCTGCAATAAAATCCTGGGGTGTTACAAATAGAAGTTGGGAAGACTGGAGGTGATCATTTCACATTACAGAAATATTAAGAACATGGTTACTTGCAGCAAAATATTTTCACTGTTCAGTATGGACAAGAATGGCATTAAAAAGATGATTAAACTTGGTGGTTAACTCTCTCAAAGACAGTGTATATAAACAGAAAGAACTGGTCTCTTAGACTTGGAGATAACTAATTTAGGACTATAAAACTAAGAGAAATTTTATAATGTGTATGATTCTAGTGTAAACCAGAACAAATTATTCAAATAATAGCTATGGTTTGACAAAATCTGGGTGCCCCCTTTCCCAACAAAAACTGAATAAAGTATGGTGAAAGGTTACTAGAGTGTGATCCAAATCTGATGACAAAAAGCTAATTACTCCAAAATGCAACGGAAACCAAGACAATAGTCCAAGGAGGGTACAATGCAAAGTCATTCTCAGTCCTATATACAAAATCCCCAAAGGGTTAGGACTGTTTGACTGAATCTATGTAAGACAAAAAGAATAGGGATAAATTCAAGTCAAGGACAGTACTAGCTGAAAGGAACGTAGATGGAATTTCCTTACGTAGCTTTGTAGCTTGTAAGGAAAGTAAGCAAAGCAGTAAGAGAAATGAGTGTACATGCTGTTTTCTAGGATTTAAGCAAATACAGGGAAGAAAAATATTATGAGGTTTAAATTGGGGCAAGAGTATTTTTTTCTGATGACTTTTCATTTTCTAAATTATTCTGGCCTACACCCTATTTTGAACTACAATTCCTGCTACTGAAGTAACCTCTGAGCAAGAAGCACATTAAAGGAGGGTATTTTGAGACCTCAGCTGAGACTGTTGGTTTTTGATGGTATAAAATGACATTTAAAAGTGGAAAGCAGACCCGAGGAGAAATATGTCAAAGAAATAAAAGAAAGAAAACTGGTATATGAAGACAATCTTATCAAAAAATGAGAATTGGAAGGCAAATTATTAGGAGCACCATTACCAAGAGGATCTTTATTAAGAAAAGCAAACATGAGCCATTAACAAAACTAACTGTGGCATTCCAGAAATTACAATTCTGGCTGTAGCACTGACCCCAGCCTGACTACAGGATACTAGAAGACTTCAGAGTCCAGATCACATATATTCCTGTTGTTCCTGATGTGGTTTAATTTCAGCTATCTGGTCACCTGCTACAAAGGGGCTAACTGTGATAAGTCTTTGTGACTTATTCACTCTATTCCTGCAAAACCTTGTCAGGCAGATTAGCAGAGCTTTTTATTCAAATAGACAAAAAGGATACAAAGATTAAGATCTCTCAGGGTATCGGAACAAATACAGAAATGAACCAACTCAGCTGAAGAGCGTATAAAAATAAGTTTTTATGCTCAGGCATACAAACGGCCATAACAAAGTTGTACCTGCTTGGATTATCTCTTCCTTTGCCATCAGACTTACACTCAGTCGTTGTGAATCATATAACCATGCTGAAATCACGTTAAGTGGCTCATTTGGTGCATCTGTTCTTTGCTATCACAATGGCAAGGTCCTTCCCACATCCCCACCCCCCAAAAGGAGCTGGGAATGTAATTGAGGCAATTTTAACTTGGCTTTTATGTATGAGAGGTCACTACATTACTTACTGCCCGTAAGTGGTTTTAAGCACCGTGCTGGTGTTACATTCTCTGCAAGTCCATTTGGCTTTTCTGCCACTTCTGTTACACTTGGATTCGCATGTTGAAACTGTTCTTCGTTTCCCTTTGCAGACTTGAGATTCAGCTCTTCAGCATCCTGTCCTTCACCTTTCCAGTTCTCCCTGGATGTGGCACATTGGTCAGCACTTTCGTCACTCGGTGCCGGAGTACTGCTTCCATTAATGCCATCTATTTTCTCGCCATCTGGTGAAGCATGATCCTCGGGGCAATTTGAAACATTTTTATTATCTCTTGATTGCACAGAGTTGTTACTGGCGGGTGTCAGGGAGGCGCTCACAAGACAGTTCTTTTGGGCATGGTACTGAGGTATAATTCCAACAAATTTCAAGCCTTGACTTGCAGCATCTTGAATCTAAAAGTCAAAGAAGATTAGATTTTTAACTGTCAAGCTGTCTTAGCTAAAGAGAAATACAGAATATACCACCCTCCAAGCCAGCTAGCATGTCATTTTGCTTTGTCCACTACCATAAGAAATTAACAACTTACACAAAAAGTTACATTCTAGAGAAGCAGGATGAAAAGTTCCCTAAACCATCTGAAATAATAAAAGAAAAAAAAAAAAAAAAAAAGGAGAAAGAGAGAGAGATTGAAAATGCCTACATATTTCTTCACAAGGGATAAAGTATCTCCGAAAATTTTATTTATGCTAAATTACCAGAAATGTTATTAGTCACAAAAAGTTTTAGTATCAAACTTACAAAGCCAAGGACTTGATATTGTATCTTCTGCTGTATTAGGTGTGTGATTATGACATTTATGCAAGAAAACGTTATTAATTCTCACTGTTATATGCACCATTATAACAACAGTTGTTGTTTGTCCTATTTTGGATTAATGAGTACATAAAAGAAAAGCTATTTTAATACATCACTTTTGGGAAGGTACAGAACTTGGAACAGAAAAAGGCATAAGATGAGCTAAGAAGAAAAATGTAAACTAAGGGGTGCCATTAACAAACCCTTATGCTTTAAGTAAAGGAGGAAAATGAAAGAATCAAATCACAAAAGATCCTAAGAAAAACACATTGGGCTAGTAGTAATGACAATTAGATAAAGCCAGAATTAACTAAGAAAGGTCTGAAACAAAGCAGAAAGAGAAATCTCTTTTAGGCAGACTCAGCACTACAGATGCACCATCCATTCAAGTCACCAGCCTCACACTCCTTAAACACAGAAGAAGCTGCAGTGACAGCCAGAATTCTGTGAAAATATATGAGTGTCTGCTGATGCATTTATCAAAATCACCCACTGAAAAGGAAAGGTTTCCATGTAATGTATGCTCTTCATATAATATAAAGTCTAACCACACATAAATATTTCAAAAAGAAATGCCTTGAGAAAAGAGAAACAATTTCACTTTCTCTGCATACTATGTAATCCCAGAGAGTTCAAGTGTCTTAACTATTCTCTGAGGCTCAATTTAGTATGAATGTATGTTAAACAGTTCAGGCCTTTTTTTTTTTTTTTTCAACAGCAAGTAAATAGGAAGAATTTTGTAAAGTTTTGGGTTGGTTTTGGTTTTTTTTTTAAATTTAAAAGGAAGCTCATTTCTGCATCTTCCCTACCCATAATTTTTTTTTTTTTTTTTTTAAATGAATCATCTACTTCCTGGTAACATGTTACTGTTCTGAACACACAAACCTACAGATACCTGATCAACAACAAGAACTTCCTCTTTTAAATCACTTACATTTTCCATATTAAATTAACTCTTGATTTCATGATCACAGGAGCTTAAACAGAGCTCTCCAGGAAACAAGGCAATGATCTTCACAGGTGTTTAGCCTGGTGAACATGGGATGCTGACTTAACTAAAGCTCACTGCTAAAGACGACAGACAATAACCTCCAAATAAAAATACTACTAGCAGTATCCTGATCAAATGAGCATCTGTCTACAAAGAAAGTTAGCACGTACCTAGCTTGCTCAGAAAGGTTTAAGTGAATGTCAATGATAGATTCATTCATAATATGCCTAATGGTCCTGACTCCCTGTTGTAACTTTACAAATACTTTTTAATAGAGTCAAAGATTTATTAAATTCAGTTCACCTCTTATCACTCATTTACAGGCACACCACTACATTTGTTTAGTAGGTTGTAGGGCAGCTAATTATAGAAATTTAACTAGTATGCAACTGTTAACAGTTTGAGGCTAGTACATACGTAGTAATTTTATTGGTCTTTGTCAATAAAGACTGCTTGTCAATCTGTATCAGACTCTCCCACGCTGTGGTTTGGATGAGAACAGCTTGCACAGCTACTGTAGCAATGTTTTACAGTCTTGTCGCACTCAGAAAAAAAGTGTTTGTTCTAAGGAATACCTGATGCTGCAGTTTTTCTTCTGAGGGTCTTGTTCTCAGAATGGAAATAGAGGAACTAAGGACTGAATGATCGTCTAAGCCCTATCACCCTAACATTTTAGCAAAAATACTTTAAAAGATACTGTATCTTCAAGGTCCTTTCCCAACAAGTTAATTGGTAGTACATAGAATACAAAAATCTTATTTAAATCTGCATTTCAAATTTTCCCCATTACATAAGGAAGCATCAAGCATCTCATTATTTTCAATAAAGGCAATTAAGCAGGAAATGTTACCTCAACAGTGCCATGTAAGCTGCAGAACAGCAAAGTGATGTATCAGCAGACACAGTCTTTCCTTCCAACTTTCCACAAAACCATGAAGAGGGTCACTCTCATCATTAATAAAGTACAAAGCCTGAATATTTTCAAACTACAAACAAAGACCATTTGATTTTTCAGCATCTGTTGAGAGCTTAAATAGTACAAATTTTCAGTTGTGTTCACATCCAGAATGAATGATGCCATCCAGGATACGTTCACATTTCCTGTTTCCTGTATTTGAAATACTAATTATTTAAATTATAAAAAGCAAAAACCCAGGCTTAAACAAGCCCAAACCTCAGTACCTGCACAGATCACGCCCAGAAGCTACCCCAGGCAGAGGGACTGTTTATACTAGCCACCTGTGGGTTTTGGACCCTTTGAGGCATCCTGCACTGATACACACAGACAGATATGTCTGTTCCAGCCTTTTGGGAAAATATCTTAACAGATGTTATGTTGGGAATCAGTAAGAGGGCAACACATCAGAGAAAGCAGGGGTAAAACTTAACTGAATGGGAAGAATATGATGCTACTCTGACAGGGTCACCCAGACATATTCCAGATCAGATAAATACTACAACTACTTGTCTTTATGTTCCAGTTTAGAGTACTAACAAACCATACTAACAAAGGTCCTTGTCATACTACATTGTATGACTAAATGAGAGGAAAAAGCATAAAAACCAGAACAACTGCATCTCCACCACTTACCACATCAGGAAAAAAGCTAGATTAAACAAGCCCTTACATTAGGTGATTCATGCTGATTTCAATTGCTTTACTGGCCTTTTTTTGTAATTTAAATATGATACATAATTGCTCTTACATTGTGGGAAATTTTAAAAAGGGAAGTTCCAACAAAATTTAAAATAAATTTTTAAAAAATTATTTGGTTCTTTCCCCAAATAGGAACAGAAACATTTTTATTGCCTCATAAAATGCTGCTTGGATGACATCAACCACAAATAGAAGAACAGGCCTCCATCACAAAAAATGTTACTGTTCAACAACAAAAGCAGAACTTAACTCATTTATTTCAATCTGGATAAACCCCCAAATGGGCATATCCAAATTCATTTGTAACTGGTTTGCAACAAATCGAATTTACACTAGTTTAAAAATAGAACCTGCTTAAAGAAGGGGTGAAATTTCCTGTGTACAGAGGGACAAGGCAGTTAAAGAATTTAATGTCATCCCTATAATTTGCTTGATTAGAAACCTGGCATTTTCCCTGAGGGGAAAAAAATTACAGATTTAGCCTTTGCTATCTGTGAAATAAATATCAAATCTCCCACTAACTGGAGTAGGAGTAGGAATAAGCACCACATCCAACCCCAGTGTCACTACCTTAATTGAATTTTAGCTGGGGCATTTGTGTTAACATTCTTAACATTTGTGAAGTGTTATTGTTTACTTTAGAACTGACTGACTGCTATTTTTATATTGCCTTTTGAAAAAAGGAATCCTCAGCAGCACAAAGCTGTGTCGCTAAACATTATGTTGATGTGGCAAATTTATGTCCCATCTTTTTAAATACTTCTGGTTCTCTTGAAGGCTCCCTACCTAACTGGAAAATGGCCAACCGTCTAATTTAAAGATCTGTAAAACCACACCTGGCAATAGTATGGCTGAATGGAAACGACTTGATTTTAAACTATAGGCCTCATGGCCATGAAAGAAATGCAGATTCCAGGTTGAAAGCTCATTTTGAACAGCCACATACAGGTTTTCTTTTCAAATCTGTTTAGAATAAAGACACTTGGCAAGTTCACTGTGCAGTCCACATTTGTTTGTGATTCTGCATTTCTTGTTGCATTATCAGCTCTGTAATAATCTCCATTATGGTACTACTTATAAATACAGAAGCTCGAGGGCATAGATCCCATGCTGAACAGAATCATGTCTTTTTGTCAGCTTTGGTAACTGTTTACAGGAAGATTCTGTACATTTCTCCCACAGGATGGCACACAGCAAATCAAACACTTCTGCCAAGCTCAGGATAGTATTCCGCCCACATCAGTAAACATTAGAAATAATGCACAGCAATTTAACAATCAGGATGTCTCGCTTAGATAAGAATTTTCAAACAAATGATTTAATAAGACAAGTGTTAGGAATTTCTCTTAACTCTTGAATGCCAGCAGCTGGAGATGCATCCAGAGGAAAAGCAGTTTTACTAATGTCATTAAGGCACTTCAGCTTACAGCAGTCCTAAACGGTCTCAAGGCTTACAGTTCCTGATAGACTGGAAAAACACACCTTCAAAACCTAGGCATTAGGACTGAACATTACATTAATAGGTTAGCTATATGGTTCATGATATAACAAGGTACTGAAAAATGTCACAGCAACCCAGTAAAGGGGACTGCTGCTAATATAAAACCAGAAACAATTTACTAAGAACACCCATAGCAAAAATGCATTTGGAGGATGGACAATGTTCTCTAGAAGCAATGAACTGATTTCCCAATGGTCAGATGTATTTAGTTAGCTCTGCAGTGAACTAAGGGAAAGACTGTTATTTAGTTCTGTGGATGGCCAAACAGGGCCTTTGAAATACACAGGTGGTTAATTTTGCTCAGACCTATCTATTTAAATCAAGCATAAACTGTCTTAGCCAATAAAATAAATGTCTGTCTGTCTGTTTATTTGGTGGTTGGTTTTCAAAGAACAACATTAGAGGCATTAGACCTCATAATGTGCACCAGAAACAAGACCACTATATA